CACACACACACACACGTAGTGAGGTGATGGGGATGATTATTAGGACGTAAAATTTCAGAGCAGATTAAAAAAAGGCAACAGCATAAAAACAGTTAAACAAATAACACTGAGTTATTACATAAGTCAGTTGTCTGCTAAAGCATTTTTATTTACTTTCAATTCCGGGTGGTGAAGCAAAGTAGAAGTAGCTTTTTTTTAACTCTTTACTTTCTGATTTTTTAAAATTATTATTACTTTTTTTTTTTTTTACTTTTAAGGCTGTTTGTGGAGTAATACATTTTTTGATTATTGCCATACTTAAACAGATAAATCTTTTTATAAAATGTTTATAATACACATGTATATTTTTAAATACACACAAAAATGTTTTAGTGTTATGGAATAGTGTTAGGTTCTGAAATACAAAATCTACTCAATAATTGTATACACCATACTTGTTACCTTCTGAAAAACCAAATCTCATGTGACTGGTCAGCAGATTATTAGTTAATGTTTTTTTAAGTATGGAGATTAAAAATAGACAAAGAACAGTAAGACAAAACCTCTGAATGAGGTGTCATGTATTATCATAAGCCCTACGGATAAAATATGCCGGGCAGACCTCGGTGTATACTTAATAGGTACAGAGATTAAAATTCAAATGCTTCATAGATAAACTTAGTAAGGTGCAATCAAATATTTCATTATGGAGAAAGTATGCATCTAATCAATTGTCATGTAGCCTACTACGTATGAAAAAACTGGGAAGCATCTAGACTTTTGTACACTTTTGTGAGAGGAAATGCTGTTTAAGACATATTGATATAAATTATGTGGGATGAATTGAGACAGATTAGATCAAATGATCAAAGATGAAGCAGATATGGATCGTTTTCACAGGCATCTCCAACTTTTTGTAAATGCTGCTGTCTGTGCATAATGAAAAAACATTTTCTGCTCCCTGCCATCTTCATAGATCACAAGCTCCAATGACAATAATAATAATAAAACAAATCAGTAGTAAGCTTCACCTTTCCTCTAGTTTTGTGTTTTGGTCCACTGCAGCTCGCTTCTTCCTTTTCTTTTTTTAAACTTCTGTCAAGCTCACTTACAAAGTGGTGAGGGAGATAAAAATGATTTTGCTTTGATGGAGCCCACAAACACAATACACAAAAATTTTTGTCATTACAGATGTTTAAGTCATTTTCTTGAGTTTTTTTCCTTCATTATATGTGTTTTTGAGAAGTGGGAGTGTTGAAAATGTATGCTAGAATCACTGCAGTAAATGCCGCTTGAGATGAACTAGTATACCAAGAAAACAACTGCAGAAGAAAATCGAATGATAAGTTCAGCTTCCCATTCGGCATTAAATTTTGAATTTTTAATGATGCTATTCAAAACTATGGTGGTGACCCTGGGATACCGCCCAACCCTAATGATCTTAGACAATGAACATTCTGCCTACATTGTGATCCTGCATCTTGTATCATTCATGGAGTGTTTGTTCCACAACATAAGCGCCTTGTAAAACCTACAGTGTCTTGTCATTTTGAGACGTTTCACATTCTCAAAGTAAATTTAATAATAGACAAAAGAATGAAATGTAAGTTTCATTCTTTGAAGTAAAACTCGATCAAAACAAACATGGCCGAGATAAAGCTGTTTGAAAATAATTATGAATGATGATGTTCGATTTACCACATTTAGTTCTCAATAGCCACAACTTGAATCAAGACATCTTTAGAACAGAAGTAAGGAAAGCACTGAAACTAACACACCCGTTTCAGGAAAAAAATAAAAAAAATTATATATGAATTATGTTCACACTCAAACATGATGCTGCTGGTGTGATGGTCACACAGTGCTTTCCTCCTTAGAAATAAAACCTGAAGGAGAACTCCCAGCTCTCACACAGCAGGATAATGATCTGAGGCACACCAGTAAGTGTAGCTTAAAAAATAGGAAACAACCCACAAACTAATAAAAGTTTTAGAGCAGCCTAGTCAAAGTCTTGACAGGCATCAAATTTAGATACCGTGGTGCGAAAAACTTTAAGATGTGGCAGAATCCAAACCATTGTGTTTAGAATAGTGGGCCAGCGTTCTCTCATAGTGAGATTCTGCCTGGATGGCAGATGTTGTTGCCAAAGTTTGGAGCAACCGGTTATTGTCAGGTTTGTTAAACCTTTTTCCCACAGGGAAGCGTTACTTCCACATTGCTTTTTTCCCCCTTCTGTAAATGGAATTAACATTTCAAAACTGCTGTTTGCTTTCATACAGGTTGTCTTTGACTAAAATTAAAATTTGCTTCATGAGCTGATGTATTTCATTTAGATTATTTTAAGTTACATAAAAGAAGAAAAAAAAGACTTCCAGAAATATTTAAATCTTAGTCTTTTCCATTACTGCACTTTCTCATCTACAAAACCTTGGCAGAGCATTTCAAGCTTTATCCTGAAAGAATTTTACAAAGCACTGATTGGTTCTATTAATTCTATTCCTTTGCAAAACACCAAAGATTAAAGCTTTCCTCTTAAGCTGAAAGCATTTCTTTAACTCAACATTTTTTTTTTTTTTTTTGCCAGACCGTTATCTAATCTGGTACATTTCACTGACAAATGCACCATGCAGGGTATTATGTCACCATGACATTTCTCTTAAATCCAAGCCATAAATCCTGATGTAATCAACAAATGTTAATTTTTTTGTCTTTATCTTCTTAACAGCAGTGGACATTTAATTAGATGGGCTGGCAGATATTTGCAGCTTTAAGACTTCAGATTGTGTCACAGAGAGCTGTTACATGCCACTGGCAGGTCTCCACATCATTAAGTAAGAGGAGGGAGGCTCTGCTGAGCAGCAGAGGAGCAGATGAAGAGCTGTCTCAGAGCTGAAGAAAAGCAATGACAGAGAAGGTGGAAAAAACACACCAGAAATGATTTATTCTACAGATTATCGTACCTCTCCGGTCTATTTAAGCCAAATATAAGCCCAAGTAATTCATTTATGCTAAGTAGCTTTCTGGCTGATCACCGATCTTTAAAAAGCTTGACCTGTCGATTTTTATTTTAGCCCATACCATTTTTATGTGTGAAAATGTGCTACAAATAGTGACAAAGTCACTCATTTTCAGACCTTTTAGTAGGAAAATACTATCGGTGGATAACATTGGTTTCTTATGTGAAGATCAGCCCCTCTCTAACCTCCCAAAATGAACAAAATCAGTACCAATTTTTCAGTGCAGCTCTAATTTGTGCTTTAGTTGAAAGCATTTAGGGAGGAGGAAATACATGCTAAGGCCAATAAGGGAAACCCATGCTATGATGATACTTTAAAGGAAGATAACATGATTTCACCAAATCAAGGTATGTACATAAAATAACAATATCCCTCCATCCGGTCATTTTTTTACACCCACCAACTGGTGCTCAGCATTTCAAACTTTACCCTGAAAGAATTTTACAAAGCACTGGTTGGTTCTATTAATTGTATTTCTTTGCAAAACACCAAAGATTAAACCTAGGTGCCCAGCTGGCCCCGTTAGAGGTTGGGTCCAACCTGGAGAGGTCGCCAGTTCATTGCGATAAACAACAAAATGTGAACTGCAAAACAAACTGTAAAACAATGGGAAACACAAATGCAACATATTCCCAACTGGAGAAAAAATAACACAACACTACTGTGTAAAATTAATAAAAGGTCTCAATTGAAAATAAAACATCTGTTTTGTCAATTCTGAACGACTCAAATCGAGATCTGGGTCATTTATTGAAATTAATATAGCCCAGTTTAATAAATTCATGAAAAGCAGATCAGGGTGCAGCAAAGTCTGCTGGGTAGATGTGGTGTAGCCAACAGTTTATATTGTCAGATTTTAATTTGTTTGTGATAATTTTGCCCTGAGAAAAAACAAAAAGAAGTTGCCATTTGCATTAATCACTTGTGCTGAGGTGGAGGGGCAATGTTGAACTGGAGTTATGGTGGCACAAAATCAGTCCAGGCTGCTCTATGCAGTCTGAAAACAGCTACATGAGGTCGACGGTGGACGGTACTCGTTTAGCCTTTGAATCATTTTGTTGCATGTTTTTGAGATCAGAACTATTTTCAAACAGCAGTATTTGTCTTTCCTTTCAGATAGCCAACTAGTGCAGCAACATGTGGGGGAGGGGTGCTGTAGAATTAATTTCTGATTCATGAATCTATGAGTAGGCCTGTTGAGATAAGCAATAAATCAATTAATGGCATGATAAATTAAAGCAAGCTTGAACATTTCCATTTACATAATTTAACGGTTTTCACTTTTCTCTCTCTTCCTACTTGATACCAGCTATGATAACCAGGGGGGAAGAAGCAGGAAAATTTCCTCAAATATTTCTGTAAAAATTATTTCCCTCCCCCCTGACATATTGGCTGGAAAAAAGAAATCTCACATAAGTGTGAGATTGCAAGGTATCCAAATGCATGCGTGTTTTTGAAGCGGCTGAGGCTTTCCCACCTCATTGCAGGGGGCAGGTGGCAGCTGCTCTGCACCCCCCCGGCCCCATCCCGACTCTCTGGCAGTCAACGCCAGCAGCTCCCAGCCCACACTGCTGCCTCTAACATTAGCAACGCTTGGGGAGGAGAAGCCATGTGGCGCTACACATCACGACACCCGCACAGTCCTCCTAATGTTCACTCTCTCCTTCCTCCTCTCCTCTGTGATGCACTCATTTCCTGTTGGGGGTTTGAAAACAGATGTAGCTATGTTTGTTGATGTGAAGGAACGCTGACGGAAGGGTGGGGGTCTCCTTAAAGGCCCCCCTGGACCCGACACACACATCACACAGCGTTTTCTGCGATCACTCAAATGTCAGGTTTAGCTAAGAACGTGAAGGGCTGACTGAAAACAAAAGGAGTTTCACAATTCACAACTTCCCTTCTCCACAAGTATGTGACTGACCCAACCAATGAACCCTTTCTTTACCCAGGCAGACCCTAATGCATACATGATCCAACACGGGGAGACAAAATATAGGTTCTTACCTCAGTTTGTAGCCGACCAAAAGCTGTTCAGCAGCCCATCACACAGGAATTTCACTAGAGACTAAGTTTGCGGCAACAGCAGCAGCAGGAGGAGCAGAAGAAGCAACAGGCGAGAACAGCGGACAGCGCTGGAGAAAACAATGAAAGACAGGAGGAGGGGGGGGGACAGCACACCCAAGGTGGGGGAGGCGTAAAGGAGCAACTGACTGGGCGACTGAAGCAGAGCTAACGGTAACTGACAGACTCCCAGACTGAGCTGGAGGTTTATTCAAAGCCCGCAAACTAACTCGTTTCTCAGCCTGCCTCCTCGGTCTGACGTCAGCGTTGTCACATGACCGCGCTCTAGTATGTGGACGTGTGTGTGTGTTGAGAGGGTGTTGTAAAGTAGACGGGAGAGAGAGAGAGACAGAGGGAAAAGACAGAAAAGCAGAAACCCATGTTGCTGTAGCAACAGGGCACACTGCACCTCAATGATTTCAACAGGTCATCTGAGATACGAGAGCAGATCTTCAGAGATACGTTCACTTTGACGGACAAAGCAAAACGGTGGACGTTTGCTGAGCTCCACCACAAGATCAGTAACTAAACTGGAAAATGTTCAACTCAATGGCATTTACAGAACGCAATCAGATATGAAAACGTGTCTGCAGGATTTAAATTCACCTGAGCTAACCCTGCGCTCTGTATCCCTTTGGTCTGTTTGGGGCTTTTATTCCTTTGTGAGACCCCCCTGCACATACCTCAGAGACCCTCTGCATCCCCTCCTACACCTACTGAAGCAGCGAGCACCAACAGCTTTCGTCTGCTTCCATTCATTCCAGAAGCATCTGTCGGTCTGCTGAATGGGACAAAGTGGGGCCCAGGGTCGGCAGTGGGTGGGGCGGGGGAGTTTGGACTAGCCTGGAGAAAGCAACCACCCTCCCACTGGTGGAGTGGGGTGAGTAAGGGTATGCTGGAGTAGGCGAATCAGGGAGAAGATGCAGAGTAGTGGAGGAAATTGACAGAGAGAGAGGATCAGTCGTTTAATAACGTCTGCAGCTACAATAAAAATGATTAGAAAGACCCTCTGAGGAGCCAATCAGACGCAAGGAAGACAGCTGTAGGCAGAAAGCAAAGAGGGATGATGACAGAAAGTGAAATGATGCTCAGGTAGGTAATCAGTTTGAGACACTATTTTTTATACTAACGTTTGTGTCGCCACCATTTTCCTTATCTTTATTTGCCATTTGCACACATAGTAAGTCGGTTAAATGTCTACATTCATACATGTCTTGATGCTCAATTCAGATTTTTTTTGCCTGAAATCCTTTTTTTTTTGCGTGGTCGTTCATACCATTGATTAAACATGACTGCAACCAGACTTCTGTGTGAACAGTTTATGGCCCCAAAGCGACCCGCATGCGCAGAAGAAGAACACAGACATCTCACGGCAGTGCATTGTTTACACAAGTAATAATGGATTGATGTAAACGTTATTCAGCAATTGAAGCTGACAGTATCGACACAAGATCATAGTAGGATGAATGAAGTTAATGAAAAAAACAAAACAAAATCACACTGAGTAGTGGAGGTCTTTTGTGAAATTTTGGCTGCAGCTTCTGTAGAAAAGTCTGTTAGGATGCAAATTCGTAACGAAGAGTGGTAATGTGCTTCAGTGACACAGATTTCTTTCATAACTTCAGAAATTACATTTTCTGCCAATGTTTACATCCAGATTTTCAGCGTCTGGCTTCTTCTGGTTCAGACTTCTGACGGATGTCTCACTTTAATGACATAAACGTCAGAAATGCTTCATAGAAGTTCAGACTGCAAACGCTTTGAAAACTATTGGATGCGTATCTGATTTTCTTTGGGTTAAAAGATTGAGTTTTTCTTGGCAGATCTACATCTGCCATGATAAAGTGAGATATAGATCGCATTCGCCGTGTGAACGAAGCCTCAAGTCAGGGATCCAATTTTGCCCACTAAAAACAATAAAAACAGGGCAAAGCTTAAAATTTACACTTAAAAAGATGTAAAATAAACAAGAAAATAACACTTTCAAACTAGTTCACCTGATATTTTTGGGCAGGAAGCTCAAAGAAAACAAAATAGTAATATATAGGAATTACAAAAGAACAAAGACAAATATAAATAAAGGTGCGGAATATAATGGCATTTATGGTCCACGCCTAAATATGTTTTTGCAATTTTGAGGCAGTCATAGAGCTTAAATCTGATTCGCTAATATTTAATGCAATCCGAGCATATCTTTGCAATACTGATAGTACATATAATAGAACTGTGATATCTTTGCGAAAATTACAGCACAATCACAGCATGAAGGCTAAAACAATACAGAATTCCTGACTGATTAAATTTCTTTAAGAGGAACTTACATTGGCTAAAATCAGCGATTAGATATCTAACATAAATTGGTGCAACACTGGTAAAACTAAGTATATAAATTTTATTGAAGAGTCACATGGCACACAGTGATTCCTTTATTTTGTTTATTTGTTTAACCTATTTTGTTTATGGAGAGGGAGTGGTGGATAACTAAAGCTTGTACACTGGAGAAAAATGACAAATGTAAATGTTGAAGCAAACCACACAGATTACATAAAAAGCACTTCCATACAGTCGTGAGTGTGCGTGCGTTTGCATGTGTGTTAGGATGTAGGGTGGGTAACAGGCACAAGAAGGAATTCCTTCCTCAAAACGCTCAGGAAGTAGAAGCAAGGGCAGAAGTGAAAACAACTTTCCTTCCAAGGCAAAATCCATTGGAAGTTCTTCCTCTGGATGCTAAGAAAAACAATCGATGCACAATGGCTGAGTGTTTGAAACCTAAATAACTCCACTTCTGATAGTACTGTTACTAAAATCAGATGAAAGAATGGTAAAAGGATGGAATAAAAATAACCAATGAAGCCAGATCAAATGGTAACAAGGAATGCAGCCTACGCTGGGTGAGTTGCAAGGCTCTATCCGTCACACATGATTGATGCTGGGAAGTTAGATTGGAATGAAAAAAAGCAACATTTGTAGTAGAAAGCGGGGATTATATTCCCTACATCTGGATTTCAGGGATTAGGATGCAACAAATCATAAAACTGGATAATCAGCTACAGGGGACAAAAAGGCAACAACAGGGCAACAGGATCTGAGCAGCAGAATAATCAACGGACACACACACACATAGTCTTGTTTAGGTATCTTGTGGGGGCTTTCCATTGACTTCCATTCATTTTCTAAAGCCAAGTGCTAACCTTAACCATCACATACCTAACCCTGACCAAATGTCAATTCACACCTTAGCCCTACACCTAAACCCTAACCCAAAAACAACAATTCTCTTTATGGAGGCCAAGAAAATGTCCTCACAAGGAGCAGTGGTCCCCATAACAGAAATATATCCCCACAGGGATATAAGAACATGGTTCCCACACACAGATGCACACATATACGTGTGCTTGAGTTACATTTGATCTGTACTTCTATTGTGAATGTATTGTTGAACCTCTCTGCAGCCACCAGAGGTCCATAGCATCTGCTCTCATCTTTCATTCTACTTAACCCAATCCTTTTCTCTACTTAGCATCAGCAGACCTCAGTCCTCTTCACAGAAGGGAAACCTTCATTAGTTTCCTGACATAAACTCAACTAGGCCTTAATCCAAATAAATCGCATATAAACAGCATCGACAGGAAGATATACGGCACAGTGCGACAGTATGCTTTACTCAACCTAAACTTAATGTCTTAACCACAATTTTATGCAACAAAACTTTGCCTGAAGTCATCATGTCTCGTAACATTACAATGTCTGAAGAACCTCAAACACTGTAGAGTCGCCAAACATTAAGAGCGGAAAAGTCAAACTTCAGGCTTCGACACTGCAACATTTTAGATGTGTCTTTGGTTTAACACACCTGAATCAAACAGTTGAATTCCCACCTCGGCATGCAGTCAAGTTATTCAGTGTCCTGCTAATGACCTGATGACTCAGGTGTGTCGAAGCAGAGAGACGTCTAAAAGTCATAGGCAACTGTGAGACTGGAGTTTCCAACAGACAGTTGGACCCTGTGATTAAAAGGAACTAGTGGATCAACTCCAGAGTATTTCTGTCATCACTCACAAGTATAATTTGCAAAAGAAAACGCAAAGAGGAGACTGGTGTTGCACAATAAATGTGTAGCACTTTCCTGTGGATGCCAGTTATATACCCAGAAGCCATCAGAAACTTGGCTGGTAGCCTGGGGACTTCATTCAGCTCCCACATACCATATGGCTGCAAATATATCACAGCTTAATGCCACAATAAATCTGTGTGACTGCACTCTGCTTTATCCTACAGCAGCTGGAGTCAAAGGCACAAACAGCAGGCTGAACTCAGCTGATCTCAGAGCTTTCATCAGTGGAAGTGGTTAAATTCACAAATAACTGGGATGAGTAGACAAATCTCCTCCTGGTGTGTTATGTAACAGCAGCACAAGGGGTGGGCGAGCTGATGCACCTCGCTGAACAGGCTAATCCAACACACCACTCTGGGTGCCAACACGAGTGACGACAGCATCTTGGAGCTCTACGGTATTGTGTAATGTTATAGCCAGTTTAACAACACATGGATTTCTAACTTTAAAACAGTGCCCCCAAAGAAACAAATGCGGTAGGTTGAACAGAAGTTCAGGAGAAGAACATAAATGGAATTTCCTTTCAAGAAAATCATAAATAAACAGCATTCGCAAGAATGAAGAAAAGCAGCACCAAAGCATCTGTACAAAATACTTCTGTTATAACCCTGCAAACAGAAGTTGCTGCTGACCTACTCCTGGCCATTCATAAATCTGAAGTGCATAAGGTGATATATTGCAGACTTCAAATGCCGCTACAGGACAACAAATTAGCATAGACTTATTTCGTAACTGCAAAGAAAGTCCAACTGGATTTATTTGCTATTAGAAACATTGTCTTTTTCTATGTTGTCTTCCAGCATGGTGAGCAACATGCGAGCCACATGTTAAATACAGTATTACAAAAATTGGGGACGTTCACAATGAGCAGAAACATTAAAACTTGCCCCCTACTGGCAGCAACTGTGCCATCATTTCCAAAAAAGCAGCAAGGATCTAATGCTGCTGTCCATTTTATTATATTGTTTGATATGATGGCCTTTATGATTAATGGCACTGACTGACTGTTCTCCCTGATAGCGTAGATAAGATTGTGGATGTTAGCTTCTGTGGTAGTGCCAAGATGGTTTCCATTGTGTATTAAAACATTTTAGGGTATATTTGGTGTATGAACTATTAAATTAGGTAATTATA